ACTTTAATAAATTAATTCTTACTTAAAAATATACTTAAATTTACTTTCTTTCTAGTTTCACAAACATGCAAAAATCACATTGAGAATTATTCAACAAAAATTCAACAGAATACAGCGTTTATRTATTCATATGTATGTATATGTTCATATATATAATAATGGTGTATGTGTATAAATATGTGAGTTTTTATTATTATTATTATTTTTTTCTTAAAAATAGTTTTCCTTCTCTTGTATATAATATAATCACTCACTGTTACTTACTAAAAACTCACTCAATTTATAAATCCTACTCATTTTCATACTCCCGTTAGCTCACTTCTAAACTAAACTAATATGAGATAAGCCTCGTGCAACCTCCAAGCAAGGTACTCTCTAACGCTCTCATGCGTATATCACCGAAGATTGCAATACATATTCGATTATGACAAATTGGAGCTGTCAAGTTTTGTTATTGCTGGATTATTGAGTGGAATAGACTAAAATAACTCAATACTTTTGTACATCCTACTCAACCAAAAAAACAAAACTTTAAGCATTATTGTACTTCATGAGCGATGTCTTTCAAATGGAACTTTGCGAAAGGTCTAGCGAATAAAAACAACACGAACCTCTGCAAGAGAACGACATAACATCAAAGCTGTTGTTGAAAGAGTCTGATTGCAARTTTCCAAGAAGAACTAGAATGGTGTTCTCCAGTATTTTGAATACACGGTTTTGGAAGAAAGCATCAAAACCGACCCTTTTTAAACTTATTAGGGGAAATACAATTTTTCGAATAAGTTTCACAGAGGATTGCTAGAAAGGTTTCGCTGGTTGYCAGGACATAAAGACATTAACGGCTWTGAGATGATAGAAGATATTGCTAAGAGTTGTGTACGGCCATCAGCCGAAATCATGACTGCCATTGGTAAGCCATTCCATTTGCTTTACGACAATCGKGACAGGAGCATCGCAAGGAAGGTCAATAAGCGATATAATGACATAGCGGGATACTATACTGCAAAAGTTGATAGAAGAGATCTCAGAAAYATGAKTGGAATACTCACTGGTTMAGTTTGGTCTCAGSACATGCTACAGAATGGAGCTGACAAATCRAGATAGCTGCGCAAAATATCAAGAATAAGACACCAGGAAAATAATGGTTTATCTATTATGCCCTTGTCCTGCTTTGGCATAGTAACGCCATAATTATTTGAAGATACTAGAACAAATATTGCGAGTGAGACTGCAGAACATATTGAAATTCACATCAGCAGCTGACATCCTTAAGGATGACTACTTTTCATGGACTACGTAACGGTATCCAACTGAGATCTGTAAGCACCATAACTGGTCTATAGACCTAATCTCTCACAGGAGTACTAATCTCCTACCCATTATGTTCACACATAATAGCTGTCTCCTTAATCCTCCTTAACCTATATATTTATATGCTCCAGCTAAAACACAACCTATGCTTTCTTCTTCTCTTTTATCACTCATCTCATTTGTACCTAACTACAAGTCTGTCTTTTTGTCAACTTTCACACAGCACTCGGTTCATGATATCTTAAAAAAACTAGCTAGATATGCAGCCGTTACTACTTCTATGCTTCAGCGAATTCATCGCTTTCCAGCCGCTGGCGTTCAACTAATTGACGCTGGCGTCACGCAGCGATCTCGTCGATGGCAAACCCTTCAGTCCCTTCTCAAGTTTATCAGCATCACCGGCGGAGAAACGATAACTCGTATGACCATGTCCACCATTTGTACCAGCGCCAGCACTGCTAACACTTAACAGCGAACGATTCGCATTGAGACTGTTGCGCTTACTCACCACTGCCGCCTCTGYGGCCGCGCTGACCAYCGATGCGCAACTGGCACGCGATGARCGTCTGCTGGCGAGAAGTTCGAGATGTTCGTCGGCGGCGCCACTACCACTGTATGCGTAATGTGTGACAGACGTGGTTGTTGTTGCGCTAGCGGCGGTAATGATCTTTCCCGGCGGTGAGTCTTCTAGCGCCTCGGGTAAACGTTTATAGTCACCACTTTGCGAACGATGCAGCTTCCAAGAAGAGCGTCGACTGCTGTTGTTACTGGGCGCACTGTTACCACCGCCGCCACCACTGGTCGTGCTGCCACCTGTGCCACCACTAACCGGTCCATTGTGTCCGGTCGTGCCGGCAGTTGTTGTCGCAGGCGGACTGTTGCTACTATTCGAATGTGTGGACGCATTGCTCGAGAGACTGCTATTGCTGTTGCTGTGGTGCTGGCTGTAGTTGGTGTTGGAGTTCCGCCGCGTTGTGCGTTGTGCTGGTTGTTGTTGAGTTTTCGCAGGACCGCCCATTCGTTCTGCTTCGCTAACTGACTGGAAAGTGGCTGCCTGGTCAGCAGATGCCGGCGTCGCGGCAATGATTGTCGTTGCGGTTGTCGTAGCGGACGTGTAGTGGTGCTCGTATCGTGAGGGTGGTGACTGTGGCATACGTTGCTCTGATGTAATGGAGTACTTGGGCAACTCCTGTTGCTCTTCGATGGGTTGCAGTAAAGCTTCCGTYGAGCGACAACAATTACTACTTTTACTCACGGAATGTTTCATTATCCAACGATAATCATTGGAGTTCTCATCGTCCATCACGGCATATGACTTACCGTTACCGCAGAAACTGTCGCCCAGTAAGCGTTCATTGGAACCAGTAACCGAGCCCGGGCCTTCAGCAGGCGATATAACTTCCTCAATTGTATTCAATGGCGATACTTGTAGAGTCTGCTGTTGTTGTAGCAATTCAATTTCAGTCTTTATCGCCGGATCAATACCCAGCAGGCCGAGCACCAAACGTGGATTGGCCAATACAAAACGTTCGAAAACGGGAAAGTCTATTTTATAGAAATCTGTTTGTGTAGCGCGCGATATTTTCGGCACTTCGGGCGCAGCTGGTGAGTTTGTCTTGGCGCTACCAGTAGCACTGATACTGCCACCAGCATCAACTGCAGCCTTACTTCCTTGCACTGCCGCACCGCCTGCAAACGACAGCTGCATCTCACGGCCCCAGATTTCGGGCGGATGAGAGGATGAACGCTGTAGTGACATATCATCTGTGCTACTCGCCACGAAGTGCATGGTGCTGCCAATACCCACTACGCCACCAACGGTACCACATATATTGGGTATAGAGCGGGCAGGTGGGAACTTCAGACTAGCCTGTGAGGCCATAGTCGAGAATGTCATCTCCTGTAGCGCCTGTATGGCATTGCGCACCTCCAAACTCAGTTGCGCCACATCATTATGCAGCGTCGACACTTGCGAGTCCAAGCGTTCCATTGAAGGTTTCTTCTTTATACTGTGCACATCATCATCCCCATCCTCGCCGTTCATATCCTCTTCCATAGAGCCAGTATCCAAACTTGAAGTTATATTTAGTGAACGTTGTCGCTCCACACGCTCACGCAAGGTTATCAGCGAACGTCCACGCGGATGTAATTTCATTAAACGTGGACTATTCAAACCCAGCAATGGTGAGCGGCCATGCAGCGGTGATGGTGTGGTAATGCTGTGATGTGGTGAAGCATTCGCACCATTTTCATTATCTTCATCGCCACCGTCGCCGTCCTGCTGGTTCTCATCGTCTTCGCTTATGCTCGGCAACGGAAATGATGGTCCGATTTCTGAGTCTTGACATTCATAACCTTCACGCAAGTTAAATGTGAGATCGTGTTGTATATCATTGGCGAACTGTTGTTGGTATTCCGGATAGAGACGCAACACCTCAACCAAGCCGCCCATATGCACGCACTTCAGATCACAATAAGTCAGCGCCTGATTAGATAAACAGGGAAGAAGAGAAAAAATTGAAAGACTTAATTACTTCAAAGGATATTCAAATGAAATACGAATGAATGATAAATATAGTTAGCATCTAGATGAATGAGTGAGAAATGCTTGACTTGAACAATAAGAATTAATTTTTAAGCGAAAAAAATATGCATTAAATATATACTAAAAATCATTGAATAAGTTTAGAGAGCATAAAAGTAGATCGGTAAATAGAAAAAATCCGGAAATGCCTATTTTTGTCTGGGAAAACGATCTTAGATCCCCTTATCTTCAAACCGTTTAATTTGAGATAATAATAGTAATTAAATTCCAAAACAGCATTGGTATCTAATACAGCAATGAATTGCTACCGAAGGGTTTTCGTTGAAGTTTAGTGAGCTAAGGAATTCAATGAAGCAAGTAAACTCATAATACTACCGTATTTGATGGAGTTCTTCAGGGACAATTACTCCATCTTTTCGATTCCTAAATTATCAAAAGAATATCTAAGCTTCTGTTATAAAGAACTTCCAAAAAGCTGCACTGTTCCAAAATGAGAACACACACCCATTACCTACATACGTGTTCGAATGTGTGCTTATTTACATATCGTGCCCCTTACCAGCCAACAGTGAACCACTCACTGCCTTCCCTACCAATCAATATTATAGCACATTATACGCCGCAAAGCCAGGAAATTAATGTTCATCATACGACAGTGTTAACTTGCTGCCATTTTCCGGCCTACGGTGTAATTGCCCATATTTGAATAATGAAAATAATGAAAATTTAAATAAAATGTGTAAGCAATTTGCCTTTTCTTTTTGCATAGAAGAGCCTTAATAGAAGCTGAGGAACTAAAAAAATACCCAATTAAATGTTTGTATTATAAAATAGCGTTTCTTTATTTAAAAAACCGGACTTTCAGTTTTGTGATGCTATCCTAAGAAGTAAGGTCGTCTCTTCAACCTGAGCGGGTCGTAGAATACTCGTCAAAATACTGAAACAAGACAGACTCGAATAACTTCTTTTTCCTTTTAAATTTTTTTGGTTAACTGGAAACTTCTGTTAAAATTTCTAAGAAGGTGTTGCCACCTGATTTAAAAAAAATACGTTGCAACGGAAATTATTTACAGAGAGCAAACACAACTATTCTGATTTTAAACATAAATATTTGGACTTCTGCTGAGTGGATAAAAAGGGCGTTGCCACCAGATTTAAAAAAATTCAAAGCTGCAACGGAAACTATTTAAACAGAGCCAAAACGGCTTACCAGCTGATTTCAAACATAAATGTTTGACAAAATTTTTTTAGGGTTGCCACATAATTGAAGTTTTTTGAAAGAAAATACTTCCATAAATACAAAGCGATGAAAGATGAATGTGTATTAAACTTAACAAAAATACACTCATATGAAGTTGCCACGTGATTATAAATACGACAACGAAATAATTAGAAACAAATTTAAAAAAAAAAAATCAAAAATTTGCATTATATTGTGAGTAAAAACGACGTCAAAGTCTTTCATTTCAACAAACATAGGAGCAGTATTGCCACACTTGTTAAATATCATTAATGCTCTAAGTTTATATTTACTTTCAAATGCTAGAAAAACAAGCAAACACAAAAAAATGCATGCTAAATTACTTTACAGCGTTGCCATGTGGTGCAAATAGAATTCATATTTAAAACATGAATGTATGAGTATGTGTGTATTCATGCTTGTAAATTTAATGACTGCTTCAAAGCAATTTTTTAAGCCACCAACAAACGCAGATTATGCACTTTACTCTGAAGATTAAAAAACAATTTTACACCCTAATTGTCTTTTATTAACTGTTAATTTCACTCACCTTCACATCACTGCTACTTCGCACCACCACATCCTGCCCCGCACTGTTGGTGGTCGCTGTCATCTGGCCATTGGAAGTGGCCACCAAATGGACGTTAATGTCAGAACCAACCAAATCGCCTTTGCCTGCGGCGTGGAAAAAGTGAAAAAAGCAGATTTTATGCAGCGATTAACATTTCGCATTGACAGATAATGAACAAAGGCATACAAATGAAAATTTAAGGGATAAAAAGCACTAATGAAAGCAGAAAAAATCGATCACTTAACAAATGAATTATTTCAATTTGCTAAAGACAGCTTCTATGATAAGCTAGTCGTTTTTATAATTTAGGCATGACACTCACCCAAAATGGCCACCACCATATCGTCCTTGATGACCTCCATGGAACCATTACAAAGATAGTAGATGTAGTTCAGCGCATCCCCCTTGTGTATCAAAAATTCACCAGGGGCGCAAAAGTTGGTCTTAATGTGTAGTGAAAGCAGTTTCCGGCAACCCTGTAAAAATAAATTACAACAAAATTTAGTATTATTTTCTTTTATAAAATAAAATTTAAAAAAAAAAATTGTATTAGAATATGCTAGAAATTTTTTAATATTGTATAGCTCAGAATCCTAGAAGAATGAAGGTTAAATAGAGCTCTGTGATATCAAAAAACTAAAATGTTCCCAACAATCATTTTCAAAAAATTTGCAACTGCTGAAATTTATGATGTAACACCATCTTCAGCTACTTGCCACACGTGTTGCATGTAGAATTCCCAACTGTAACAGTACTTCACAAACACATATGCAACAATGAATACGCCATTATTATGAAAATAAGTTTTCGTGTCTGTCAAAACTCAACTTTACTTTTAAAAAATGTCTTAAAACTATTTTGCCTGCACACGCATTACCCCTTGTCGCCTGGCCGCGCGCAGTGTCCTTGCACAGCAATCCCTCAAGTAGTCACATTTATTTAGTACACGCATTTACCGTGCGCTTTGAGTGATCCTCAACTGTTGCTTACCTTTTGCTTACTTTCGCACGCAAATTATGCGCTTGAATTGTTGCTGCCCTTTCCGTCCGCCCACCCATTTGTTGCACGCTTTCTTTTGTTGGCATGCGACTTTTTATGCTGCAAAGTATCCACCACTTAGCAATCCGTCTCCCGAGCACTTTTGCACTTGTAAGAGCCAGTATATCTTAAGCAGTGCTTTTGTTGTTATTATTGTTGGCTTTTTATACCTTTTGCTCGTAATGTATTTTTGTTTCTTTGTAGTTTTTCTTTGGCTCTTACATTTCATTTCTTTCATTTTTGAAAGCAATCATAGAGAGTAATGCACTCGTCGTTGTTGAGGGTTTGGGTCTATTACGCAACAGCAACAATAACACGGCAACAACATGTCTATACATACCATACTACATATAAAGAGAGCTAAGCATTTGTATACACACATAAGTGTTTTCAAAAATGTTCTCGGAACTGAGTTTTTAGTTTAGTAGTGAAGAAGGAAAGTGTTAAAGCCACGCATGAGAACTTACCATAGACAAATAAAGAAACATTCTTCTAAAGTTTAGAAAATAAAGCGCTACTCTTTTTACCAAAGCTCAAGCAGGGCATGAGTAATGAATTTTTTTTAGAGAGAAGAGCATTTTTTATTTGCACTGCAATTCAAAACAAACGTTGGGTAAAGATCCAAGATTATCTTGGTCATGAGTCGACAGTTTAAAAAGCTTTAGTGGTGAAAACTATGGAACACTATCCTTTGGAAATTCGAAAAGATCGTATTCTTATAAGCACTAGGAGGATCTGCGATTTCCACTCTCTTTCTTTAGAAGCCGACAACAAATTTGGGAATTCCTTAAGTACCCTAATTTATATTCACATTATAAATTAATTTACTGCCAAGTCCAGTAGAAGGTTATAGATGAAGAAGAATTACTAATTTTGATGTGCACTTTAAAGACGGGGTTTGGCACTGAATAATAGAAAACAAATTATTTCTGATTTTATGAATATTATCTTCATAAAAGCTCTCTCAAAAACATCCCGTCGCCATGTAGCATCTCAGAGGAACGCTACCTTAATAACCTAATTAAAAGGACTGGTTGCTGAGGTCCAAGAACTATTCCAATATSAAGTCTAAAGARTTATATGCACTTGTGAAATTCWAAAAATTACCATTTTTTTCAAAATYWWAATTTTTASKAGACCWTSTTTTGTTAATAAATTTATGGCTYTCGAAGTTTAGCTTATTTTAATCTGGAAAATCTTGCTAACCACCAGACACCTTTTTTTAACGGCTTCCTAGAGATCGACTACAAAATTAAGGAAATCTAATATTATCGGTTGAGCAACTTTTGAATATAAAAAACATTGCCCACAATTAGGCGCATTTAGTATTTTAGCGAAGTCACACACTTTTGGAATTTATTACTATTTTTTTATTACCTACTATACTCTTATGCACTCTTTACATTCTTTTTTGGGAGGGGAAATATTGAGTAAGCTTAAAATAATGAATCCAGATTTTATATATATTGTAGAGATATACATTATTTCTTTATTTGTGTCAGAAAATTTAAGAGAATTTCAACCTTAAAAAACCGGAATTTTCCCAGCCTTTTAGAATATTAACTTATTGGTATTATTCATAAGCTCAACTGTCAGCCAAATAAAATAAGCCCAAATTATTATATTAGCTAATAATAATAATACTTTAATAAACCCAACTAAGTTTCAAATTCAAATTTATCTCCAAATATTTGTGTATGTAAACAACAAATAAGATAACTTTATGTTAATATAAGCCTAAGCAAAGTTTTAAAAAAAAGCCCCATTTTACATTTCCATAAAAATATCTGCCTAATATAAACACAAGCATTGATGAACATAGAACAACAACAACTGCTATAAATTTCCCAACACAAAAGTGCACAAATATGTCAATGCAATACTATACAAATTTACTTTCAGCTCCAACAACACACCGGGGAATTTAAAAGGCAACGATAACACAGTCTTTTCGTGCCTTACATTTGTTTCCCTTGTTCACGAATTGCGCGCATGTTCGCAAAATATTTCAATGTGTTTATTATTTTTTGTCTGCCTTCAGCTCGGCGTGCTGAATACATTGAGCAAACAGGCTTCGCGTCGCCTTTGTGTCACTTACACCTGGGCACTTGAAGGTAAACAACATTCATGCAACAAGCTGAGTGGCGCAAAACGTTGCCGAAGCCGGAGGAAATTCCATTTAAATTGTTGGCAAATCGGGAATAAGAAAAAATTTATTGATTCTTAGAAATATTACCTGTGAGGCGGCTTCGAATATCGGCAATTGCAGGATCTCACGGTGTAAATGCATGGAGACGTCGCCGCGCAGCTCCTCGGGAAATTCGCGTAGCGTCTGCAAATATTGACACAAACAAATGATACAAAATAGAAATTGTGAAATGGAAAATGAAAAATGAAAATAAAAATATATTCGAGAAATAGAATGTGTTAGCTAGCTTTGTTTCTATTTGCTTATCGCTTTGTTTTTGTTACTTGTATAAATAGTATGTACGAGTATATCAACTAATACAAATATATATTTATTTATGTATAGATAATAGCTACAAAGCCAAGCAGCACCTGTTTCCTGTCACGACACATACATTGACAAATAATATGCGGACAACTTTTGATCGCTACACATCTAAGGTCACAGTCAGCGGTTTAACACATTTGTCACCACAACAGACAGACAAGCTGACTGACAGATGTTGGCACACACACGCACATACACGAGGCTAGCTCTTGCGCTCATCTGCTTGACAAGTGTGCTACGTTTTCCCTAACCAACTTGTCTCGCTCATTGCTTGGCAACACAAAAGGCATTTGATTAAATTGCTTTTGTAGATTAACTGTGGGAACTCAGGCCAATTTGTTGGCATTTTCTAGTTGGCATACTGCTGGCGTTTTATAATTTAAAATATTTTATCTCCCATAACAACATTTCAATTGATTCGAGTCGCTGCAACTATGCAATGCTTTGCCTTGAACTGTTTTTCTAGATTTCAATATTGGTTAATAAATGTTGCTTAAGTCGCTAAAAGTCCCAAGTCTGGCTATTTTTTGTATGGAAATACTAGTTTGTTTTATATTCAATGCATAAGTTAAGTTAAGTTGGATGTATGTTTCAAGTAACACACTTGACTGCAATAAACATTTTCCAAGGTGTTTAGTTTTTGTTCTTAATAGCCCGATGGCATATCTGAAAGTGTAAGCTCTCAAGTATTTAAGTCTTGATCTCTCAAAAATCAATCAAGAAGGAAGATATGTTTACGTCTCGTCTGTTTTCATATAGCTTTTGCAGCTGACATTAGGTAAGTTTCTGAACTTTGTAACGCGACTGTCGAAAGATTAATGATCTGTTAGGACCTCCACAACTAGTGAGATGTTATCCTTATTTAGGATGTTATCCTTATTTAGGATAAACAGCTCACTGGATTCCTTAAGATCAATCTTAAGTAAATCAAGTGTAGGCCTGCGCTGATGTTGCGACGTTGCATAAATAATTTTCACGAAATTAAGAAACAAATTTGAGACAGTGTTTCTAGGCTCTTCTCTGGAATGAGTTTGAAAATATTTAGAGGTCACAAAAAGTTCCGAGTAGATGTCGAGGTTATTATTGAAGATATAAATAGTTTTTCCAAAAACTCCAAATTATTGATTAAGCGAATTTTGGGACAAACCTCCAATCTCATGAAAAAATCTGAATTATTACAAAAAAAACATCTAAAATATAACTACTGGTTTTTAGTGCGAAAAAAAAACCGTTTATGATTTTGATACTGAAACTTCAAAAACCTGTGGTGAGTACTCGGCAAATATTCAACAAAGTGGGGGAAAAAATAACACATTTCAACACACAACACAAGGGGCCTGATAATACTATGAATGCCCAACAGTAATGGAAAGAACAATGGGAAACATTGGTTACTTTGAGTCATCAATGTGAGAAAATATGACATGAACTATTGCCTTTCGGAAAAAATTCAAAATTTCTTTATCATTAAAAGTAAAGTTTTTCTTCGCATACCAGCCGAAAAAGATAAGATTTATTTGTTTGGGTCACATTCAACGCTTTCCTCACCAGGTTTGGATATTGGAAACTTTTGCGGTTTCCTGAACTCAAATATTGAATCCGAAGAAAGGGTGATGCATCGAGAAAGGAGGATTTTTTAAAATAATTGAAATATCATTCCTTCTTATGAATTTATTGAACATCTAAAGTGAATCGAGTAAGTTTGTGCAG